GTGGCTCTGTGGTACAGGCACCTGTCTAGGAACTGGACTGAGATCACCAGTTGATTTCCTATGTATTGAAATAAAAACCTCTGGCTTTATACCTACATTCACTTTAATATCTTGCCTTCCTGCTGTTAAGAATTAGCAAGTTCCTCACTGACTGAGAATGAGGTTAAAACTATGCATTTGACAACAGTGGAGAACCATAATGTTAAGACTGTTTAATTTTAAAATGACTGAGCAGGTAGGTCATGAATTCCAGTTGCTGGGTAGCAGAGGTGTCTGGGTAGTACAGGAAGTATGATGTGCTTGCTTCCAAAGTCTGTGTATTGTGTTTTTAAAGTTATCTGATTTTAAAAGAGAATGTTGTTGGTTTGCACTATACAGTTAGAGTCTTCACTCGCTATACTGTACAGTATTCAAGTTCCTAATCCCATTTTTTCCCCCTAAACCTTTAGTTTTACCAACCACAGTTTTCCCAACCATGGGAACTTTCTGGAACCTAACCCCTGCGGTTGGCAAGGGAAACCTGTATACCATGCCAACAAGACCTAAAATGATGAAACACAGCCAACGATTGCCTCCTTCATATTCTGTCTACCATAGCTTCTTGCCAAAAATTAGCAAGCAGAATGTGGTAGAACGAGTATAGTTGATGAGCACAGGGAAACAAGTCTTTCCTTGAAATACACCAGATGCAAAATGTGTGAAGTGTTTTTAAGCAGGCCTAGAAACCAGCTTGATGCATCAATTTATGCCACTCTGTAGCTAAGCAAACACTTGAGTCCCATAATATTTGGGACTTAAGTTTGTTTGAATGCCTACCTGAACAGAGATAGACTCATGACCGAGAGGCCTTAAAACTGCTATGGAACCAAGTACAAAACTCACAATGTTTTATTTGCTTTCAGGGTTTTTTTTCTTATTTACAGAGGTACAGTCCTAGCCTATGATCATGATAATGAAGTGCTCCTGGATAAATAAAGCTACCAGAACCTCTGTGGGCTGAGGTGCAACTGTCCTTATTTCACACCATATTGTTAAGTTGGTGATAATGCTGCCTCCCAGTATCCATGCACTCCCTCTTCTCCCTCTCATCACTTCAAACAAACCTCAGGCTTGTTACTTATTCCATCCAGGAAAGCAAAATGAGTCAGAAGCCAGAGAAAAGGTGCAACAACAGAAATGCCGCTAACTTTAATTAAATCACACAAGTTTAATTGTAGCCCAGGGAAGAGTCTTTAAAAATAAACTCAAATGTCTTTGGGTTTCTCTGCAGTGACTGCTTGATGTAAACAGCATAAATCAGTCTCCTGTTTCTCACATTTACACTTCAAATTGGCTTCTATAAATCAACACAGAAAACTCCATTAAAAACTATTGTCCTGCCTCAGGCAAAGAAATTCTTAACAAAGTTTGTTCCTTTTCCATCTTCTGTGATGCAAATAATGTAGTCCCTGGGCATGTCTATACATGGTATTAAGTGTGCAATAAAATACTGCATAGTGGGTGCGTCTACCTGTGCATTTAATGCAGGAGCTGTCTCCTGGCTGGGGCTTGGACATTGCACCCTGCCCTGTGGGGTTGCTTGCTGCTGGGCTGGAGACAATGTTCCCCTGTCCTGGAAGCAGGGATCTCCTGGCCCTAGCTTCCTGATTGACTCACCGCTAACTGCCCTACTGGCGGCTTGGGGCAGGGGGCTGGGACCTACCCCACCCCTGCAGATCTTTCCAAGCCTTGTGCCTCAATCACCCAATTGGGGCATGGGGCTGGGATCTGCCCCTGACCAGGACAGTTCCCAGCCCCTGCTCCATGATTGTGGGATGGGGGCTGGAGAACCTATTCCTTGCTCAGCTCCATCTTTGCTGTTCTCATCACGGAGCACTGGCCCAGTTGCTCTGTAGCACAAAAAGACTCTTCAAATAGATGCAGCTATCACCAATAGCTGCAACAGAAAGCTCTGCACTGTGACTCCACCCAAGCTAGTGTGGCATCAACAAACCTCTCAACAGCCAGGGTACATCTACTGGGCACCTATACACGAGTGCGGAGGCTGCTCTGACGGGCTGGAATTCCAGCACGTTGGAGCAGACTTGATTAATTGAGTCTGCTGGAGCGTGGCAGTTACCACGTTCCAGCAGCCCTCTGCGTCTTGTGTATCAGCATCCCCATGCTTAAAAATGACAGTGGAAGCACTTGAACTAAAGCTCTTTCAAGCACCCCATCATCATTTTTAAGTGCGGGGACACTGATACAGGAAATGCAGTGGTGCTTTAATTAAAGCAGCTCTGAGCCACTCTAATTAAAACACTGCCCCCTTCTACCCCTGGAGCACATATAAAAGTGCCCATTTTAGCTTGACTGTATAGGCTTTTTGGGCAAAGCCCAAACCCAAGCTCTTAAGAGCTTTTCACATCAGATACTTGTACATCAAAAATACACATTTTTTCATTGCCATCTTTGCCACAACTGTCTTCAAGAAGTTTTAAATCAGCAAAATAAGAGGAAATGGAAATGGTGTCCTCTTGCCCAGCACATATGCCTAAATACTGCTGGTTTCTTAACTCCTCACTTCTGGCAGTGCTCTGCTTACTTTTTGCCTTGCTAGGATTGAAGCAAAACAACAGTAAAAGAACAAAGTCAAATCCCACAATTCCCACCAACTCCTAAGCAGCTCTCATGATTTGGCCCAGGTAACCAATTAAGCATGGGTGGTTACATTTGCCTGGTCTTTTTTACTTTGTCCCTCACAATGCCCCTGTGTGTACAGCATATTTGAACTGTATCCCCAGCATGGATTATTGATGAAATGGTCTCTAAAATAGAACTGTGTATGAGAAAAATATAAACTCTGAGCAAGGTGTAAATTTTCTGCCATTCCTAATAGTAAGATCTCAAAACCAGCCTTAGTTTGTCCATCCAGTGTGATCTTGTAAAGAACAAGAAAATGAAAAATTGATGCAAAGAAGTAACCCTGCAATGTGCTCTTCAAAAGGTGTTGCCAACTGAAATCAAAGAAGAGTAGCATTTTTGGAAAGTGGAAAAAGGAAAGGATCTCAGACTAGTGACTTGAAAACAAAAAAAAACACAGGAACACTTTCAGTAAAAATCCCAATACAATAAGCATTGATTACATCATTCTGCAAGTGAACAGAAATTGTTATCGTCAAGAGTTGTTTAAATTCTATGAAAACATTAGACGTAGGTAAATGTTGTCCCATGCTTAAAATCAAAGTAAAACTGCTAATCCATATTAAATGTACCATATCCTCCCACTTTCATCTCCCAAAAACTGATTTTCTCAAGTTTACACATTCCAATTCAAGGGCCACAACATAATGATGTAGCAGTTAAGGAAATCCTCAACAAACAGAGTCATTTTTTAAACTGATGATACAGATGAGGTGTTATTTTTCTATATTTTCTAATCTTTCCTCCTAATCTTTTTATTCCAACATCAAATGAAATAGAAGCGAGAGAGAACCTTACAGTAATATTTGCTGTCTCTCCCCCTCATCCCAATAAGTCATTAGCAAAACAAGTTAAAAGGTTGTGGGGGTGGGGGTAGAGGGTGGTCTTTTTTTCAAAGCCAATCAGTCTGCTGGCTCAACATTTACAGGCCCAATCCCACCCCCTTTCAGTCACTGGGGAACTTTCTGTTAACATCAAGAGACACTCCTAAGAATCCTTCTAGTGATTTAACTCATCTTGCATCATTTCTACATTCACTTAAACTGGTACCAGTTTGCATGCTCATGCTCTGATTTCAGATTAAAGACTTATTTCAGTTTAGCTAAATGCAGTGAGGTCCTCTCTTTACAAGATTATGGAAAAGCAAAATAAGTTCCTTTCAATCTATAAGGGGGAGGGTTACATATAGACAACTGTATTATTGTACCATTTTAACTTTCCCCCAAAATAACCCAGGTTAAAAATACCATATTTATTCACATATCACACAAACCTTCCCCTCTTCCCCGCCCCTCCAAGTCAGCCTTCCAAAATTCAGGTGTGTGTCTTAAGCAGGGAAGCTAATTTTTCTTTGCTGGAATAGAAGCAGGGAGACACTGTGCTTTAAAAGCTGCCAAAATATCTTCAACTTCTTTCTGGATAAGTAAGCAGCAAGGGAAGGGTTCAGTGTTAATCCTCTCACAGCCACTACTGGCTCAGCACTGTAGCTTGTGCCTGAAGTAGCAATTTTGCCATCTAAGGCAAGTGAGCTGCTGCATACAATCTGTAGCATTTTGATGAGGATTGTGGTGGGGAAACATTTTATTTATAGGCATTTATATAAAGAACTATTTACATGAAAGAAGCGAGTCTTGCTACTGTCCTTGCAAAGGTCTGGGGCCTAGCCTTTTTGCTGTCATGCCACACCAGGAAGATCTTGCTGGCTGACACAGACCGTCTCCTGGAATGCCACACTTAGGATTTACTCTATGCCACAGTTGTCCATGACTCTGGAAAAATCTTTGTTTTATATTCTGCCCTCCAAAAACAAGGTGCATAACTTATTTGGGGGCATGTGGTATGTGAGAAAATATGATAGTTTGATTCCACATGGTAAGGAAGCCTCAAGCTTGGAAGTGATTATGCATAAATCTGGAATTATAGTTTAAAAAAAACCCCATATTTTAGAAAGTCTCTATAAACCAGTGATTCTCAATCAGGGTACCATAGCATGTTGGGGTATCTTGAGATCCTTTCAGGGATGTCACAGGGTGCCACACAGTGCTAGCACAGTTAGGTTGGAAAACATGATTCACAAGATACACCCAGAGATTTCAAATGGGAATCCATACCTGTGATCTTTCTGAGTTTTCTGCAACAGAAAAACTTCTCTATTATTTTTCTGTAGTCAAAAAAAGAGAGTTGGCATTTTCCAAGGGGTGCCTTGAGTCTAAAAAAGTTGAGACCCACTGCTATAAACCCTGTTGTCATGATAAACAAGAGAAGTCCCAAAGGAGATGTGGTAGAATATCAAAGTAAATGACACATACTTAAAAAAACAAAACAAAACCCTGTTTATTTGCAAAACAGAACATCAAGGAAAGACCTGATTTGTGCGTTTCAAAGAGTTCACAAATAGTTTTGATAGAAAGCAGATAGTGCAGATTATCATTTTAACCACAATACATTTTTCATTCATTGATCTCAAGGTGCTTTACAACAGGAGTTGACCATCACTTTTACCATTTTATAGATAGATCAGTTGAAACAGAAGTTAAATGGGTTGTCTGAGGCCACAAAGCAATTTAGTGTTAGATTTGGAAACAGTGCCCAGGACTCCTGACTCTCCCACCATATTATAAAGCCACTAGAGACCAGCCCACAGCTGCCCCAAAGTACTTAAGATAAGACTGAAATCCTCACTGAAAATATAAACATACTTAATCCCATCCTTTTACAAAACACTTTTCCCTGAATATTGGGGAACTTGGGTAGTCCTGTTCCTATTCTTTAAATGGAACAACAAGAGAGGGTCTGTTATCGGAGCAATTTGTATGCTGATAAACACAAAAGCCTAGATCCTCAAAGGCATCATTAGGAATAGGAGTCAGGTGCCTAAATACCTGTGGGCATCTGGGCCAAAAGCCATGCTTATGTTGGGCACTGTTAACCAAGAACACAAGGCTGGGTGGGTAGCATATCCAGACCCCACAGGACTCCCTCTGTGAAAGGGGATGAGAGGGTTAGTGGTATCAGCATAGGACACCCCTACATCATCATGTCTCCTGGCCTCCAATGTAGAAAGCACAGCTAAGACAAAGGGAACAGCTAGGGCTCCTTCATGCCCCTCAATTCCTGGCTGCCACAATAACCTGAAGTGACAGTGACCTGGTGTAGGATCAGAGAAACTCAGAGACATTGCAAAGCCACCTCTGCATAGGCTACTCTTGAGCTATGCTGGAAGCTCCTCAGCTCCAGATCTGGTTCTGGGGTTATGGCTTCTTTTTATCACATTGTAATATAACACAAAACTGCCAAATGCCAATTAGAATAGCATGCGTGATACCTACTGTACCTACATATATTTAGCATACCGGCTCAAAAGAGTGTCTCATTGAACTACATGGCTTGGATTTTGCAGTAGGATGCTTCTACTTGGAGATGAAAACAGAATGAGAACAAAACATTTACTGGCGCTGATTTCTGTTTTGTGGAGCTCTGAAAGAAGGCGAATGCGTACAAGCCTCAAAGAATTTGTATTCCTGCCTCTATCAACCATCACAATGTTTACAGAAATGGAAAAGTGTAAGAAAGCACATTAGCAGAGAGGAAACCAAAAATATAGAAACAGATAGATGCACAGGAGAATGAGTGGTAAGGTACCAAAATCTCTCTCCTTTATATTTTCCAAACACATTCACCTTGCAAAGATCCTTGGTATCTGCCACTGATGGGGAACTATGGGCTTGTTGACCCATGGGCTTCGTACTGCAGTTGCCATACATCAGCATTATTTCATTTTTGTTCTGAAGTTGGGCATTTCATTCCCATTTCTTAAGCTAGCAGACATTGAGGTCTTCCTTCCTCTGTTTCAAGAATTAAAAAGGGGAGGGGGAGGAGCTTGTGGCAAAATAGTCTGGAATTTTCATAAGAATTATACAGGCAAACTTGATCTAAAGCATTCAATTGCCACAGATGGTGTCACGTCCCCTTAGTATCTGATCTTTATAAAGATCACCTTGAAATCTACAATGGACAGAGTGTTATTATGGCATATTATAAAATGATTCTTCAGAGACATAACATATCATAATTTAACAGCTGGGACATGGCTTTCCATAACCTTGCACTTTGTGTAGTCGATTCCCGCCCCCAGACAGTGTGAGCGTTCTCACTGGGGCTAGCATCTGTACAAGGTCAAGGCAGTAGGAGCTCCAGGCCCAGGACGCTATTGTCTGTAGAATGCCCCACACTGCTATTGTGGGACTTTTGCAAAACTTCTGTGTATGAAGGAATCTTCAGAAGACAAATCAACCCAATCCTTCTGTCGTTCTGCCAATTTTTCTCCCAAGCATTTTATTAAAACAGGGTCCACTCTGGAGTCAAATTTATTGGCAAACCAATGTCCAGAATTTAGAAGCCATCTTAACTCTGCAGCTCCGTAGATGCACACACTGCGAAGGTGGGTACCAGTACATGGAGGATACAAATGGTCTTCAAGATAGTTCCATTTCACCAACCGAGTCTTGCTTTGGAGGTCTGTTATATCCTGAGCAGACCTTGAAATTTCTCCAGGAATTCCAGGTATACGTACAAGAGTGGCCCAGAAATGTTCATCTGGAGAATAAGTGTCCTTTGACCATTCAAAAAAATCTTTAACCAGAGAATTCTCAAAGGTAAATTGGATAAATGCTTGACTTAACACAAAATAGGCACTGCCTACAAAAACCTCAATATTATGAGGTGGAGGATCCTTAGAAATGTTAGTTTTTACAGGCATCTGCATGTATTCATAAGGCACTTTCTGAAGGTCATGATGATAAATAAATCGTTCCTTTTTGCTGCTACTTGGCTTTGTGGTTTCAAGCATATTTGCCCCATTGAGTTTCCTCAATTCAGAGACCAATTCAAAATTTGATCTCAAAGGAAAGTCTTGACCACACAAGTTAATAACATACTTCCATGGAACTGAAGATATCATCAAGTCAGACAAACAATTAAAATCTGCTTGGAGCCTAGAAATGTGTGCGTATTCTACTGTTTCCAATTTTGATGCAATGAAAATGTTGGGGAAGCACTTAGCTAGATTGTCCATAGCAGATTTGAAATTATCAGATGACTTTTGGTCATAATGAATACAGTAAACATTTTGATGACTGTATATTGTGTGTATGAGCCTTTCAACCATTACTGCTTCTTTGTGAACAACTAAAGAATAAGCTAATGGGAAATTTTCCTCCTCAGGTGAAACAGGCTTTAGGTAGTATCCTCTTAGAGTGCGATATACCTGACAGTCACTGGTTATCGCTATAATATCTTCATCTTCTAAATCAATTATATCTTTTCTTCTTACCTCTAAACTCTTGCCAATTTCACTGGGTTCTTGTTCATATATAGAAGAACAGTTTATTGTATATTGGGTGCTGTTCCTGAGATAGGAATACTTGTTTCTAACATAAGATGAAGTGCTTAAAAAGTGTTCAACTAAATAAATACCTTTGTGTGGAAATAAGAATTTTTCAACATTCAGAAGTTTCATCAGTGCAAGGAGCCATCCCATTAGAAACAGAACTAAGATCTTCAGCCTCGTGGGATATTTGCAGGAACACTTACACCTCTTCATTCTGTAGGAAGATAAAGGTATCACAACATATTCATCATGAAAGGGGGACATTAAACACAAAGCACACTGATCTGGCTACAACTTAAAAACAATCATATCGGGACAGGGTATTATAAATGCTTTAATGTTTTCTTATATTTAAACACAGCTATTAGTAACAACATAATTTGCTGCTAAATAGTTCATTTATGGGCAGATGTTAATTCAGTGCCAACTTTTGCCACCCTAATTTGTACCAAGTAATTCCTTTCTCTAAATTAGCTCAGTGAAGGCAATGACGTGTTTTGCACAGTAAGATACTATTCAGCCCAAGACGGTGTCAGGATCACACTGTTCAGTTTCTAGCCCTCTGTCATTTCCATCTACCACTTGTGGTGCATCAGTCCCTGCTACTGCAGAAGGGCAAATTTCATCTCTCTTGGCAGAGCAGGCAGAGGGCATTCATTTAGCTTCCTAGCTAAAATTCCATTGAATTAAAAAGGAGCAGAATTGGATCTCTCCATTAGTTTTTCTTCAGGCCCCTCAATTAATAGTGTATATTAGCAGTATTTAAAGTATTACTAAAAAAAAATGTTCTACTTTGAGAATACTGAAGGTGAGTGGGTGTTTTGAAAACTGGAGTGTGGTGCCAGAGCAGGGAAGGCATCTTGCTATAACCCCAGAGGCATAAATTTGAACCCTGAGTCACTTATGCCAAAGACTGGCCCTAATCAAGTCCATTGTAAATTGTTCCTGGATCATTTGAGTGTGGAGTTAACAGCACTGCTGCTAGTCATGTTACTCCCCTGTATGCTCTTGGCTAGAGAAACTGGCATGCCAGTTCTCTGGGTTGTTAGAGTGAGAATAGTCTGACTTACTTTAAAAATCAGACAAACATTCTCATTGCTTGTAGGCTGACCCATGCTGGTGTTACCAGAGAGAAGGAGAAGGGAAGGAGTATCCCCTTCCATTACATCCTATACTGATGTCAGCCAAACTTGAAGTTCCTAAGTGTAAAAGCAGCTCCTGGCTGGTACTGCTAACTGCTTCAAAATGAGTGGGGTTAAGATGGGGCAATGGACTTGCCAACATACTCCTTTGAAGAGCTATTGTAGTAGGCAATTCTGTGCCTTTCCTATTTCCTCCATCCCTCACTGGATGATGCAGTTCTGGCCTCTTGCTGCAAAGGCACAGTTGAGGTCTCTGTTGTGCAATACTGTATTCAATATCAGCTCTCTATAACAGCTTCCAAACTGGAGCTTTACTGCAATGAAAGAAAAGCACAATGATCCTTTTTTCCATGTCTCTCTGCTTTTATCAGCAGGGTGTGAAGAACATCATGGCTATTACTGGATCAAAATGAGAGCAGACCCTGCATCCAGGTGCAGCTTTAGTTGGAACAGTATTTTCCCCCTTAAGGAACTACTCATGAATAGAACAGCCTTCAACGTACTCTTTCTGAAAGGAGCTTTCTTTAGTAGTGTGTGGCTGTGTGTTTAGCAGCAAAGGAAAAATTGGCCAGCTTTGCTAGCTTATGTTCATACGTCTTACTGAGACTGAAACTTTGGAAATGCAGTCAGCAAAGGGTACACGTGCAAACATCAGGGGCCACACCTGTGGCAACTGTACAGAAGAAGTATTATCCATTTCACATTTTGTGAGACTGCTGTAAGATCAGGATAGGACTAGCTTTGGAACAGGTTGACAGATGCAATATAACTTCACAGTCATTTGGAATGAAATCTGATGATTCTTCTACACTGTTTGGGTTCTGGAGAATGAGAGACAGCCACTGTAGCTGTCTCTATACTGCCTATTCCCAGCCCTCCTTTCATTAGGATTCAGCTAGAGGATGGAGGCTGGGAAACATACATGGCACAGAATCATTTAAACTGGGGTGGAAGAAAAGTCAGGGGGGTCATATAGTCCAACACTCTGCTCAAAGCAGGAGCATCCCTATCTAAAGCACCCCAATCAATTTTGTCCAGCCTTTGCTTTAAAATGTCCAATGATGGAGCTTCCACAAGTTAAGTTAGTGGCGATCAACCTTTTGGCCCCATGGGCAAGAAGAATGGTATGGGACCAGCTCATGAGGCAGATCAGATACCATACACTGGGATCAGGCCCTGGGGCCCCGCAATACCCTGGTGCCCTGCACCACACCCACCTAGTCCTGCACACTGGGATTGGGCCCTGCACTGCCCTGCGTGCTCTATCCAATGTACAGAGCCACAGTTTATGGGGCTCCCCACAGATCCATGGGAAGCCCACCAGGCCAGATGGCAAGGCACTGGGGGCTAGATCTGGCCTGCAAGCTATGGGTTAAGTACCCTTGCTCCAGGCTAACTTCCCATGTCTTGCATGGCAACACTCCTGGTAAAACATCACAGCATGCTATTGCTATTATGTTTCTGTTTGTTTTTATCCAACAACATCACACAGCTGACTCATAATCAACTTATGGTCACTATAACCCCACATCCTTTTTTGCAGTACGCAGTCTAGCAAATCATTACAATCTGTATTTGTGTACTTAATTGTTTCGTCCTAAGTGCAGTACTTGGCATCTGTCCTTACTGGATTTCATCCTACTTATTTTAAGCCTATTCCCCAATTTATCAAAGTTATTTTGAATCCTGATCCTATCCTCCAAACTGGAACTCCAGTCTTTCCTTGTATGTCTCAACCCTGACCATGCCTTAAATACAAATGTTTAGGTAATACCATCTCCCAGACACCGAGCTATTGACTATTGTTCAAGTATATTTAGCCAATCAGTTATACACTGGTTTTCTGTCATTCACAGAGCCCATCACCTTGTCAAACAATGAAATCAGGTTATTGTGGACCAAATCTACAAGTTCTGCTACACACCTATCCCCTCAATCAAAGCTGTATTCGAAGACATCATAAGCATCATAAAAGGTCCATATTAGGGTTGCTTCAATATTCACAGACATTGTTAGTGCCATTCTCAGCTATTAAGCAAGAAATTATTGCCTAACTGTATGCCGATAACGATTGCCAAGTACTATGACTTCAAGAAACACACTGAGGGACAAATGATAACTGCCCCCAGATATCAGGGATGCAGTTCGCCATTTAGAGATCACATGAAAAATATGGCAGTGAAATCTTCGTTAAACTTCACCTCATCATCAACACAACAGTTATGACTGATGCTAATACTGATATGATATAATAACTGTGGAATTTATATCATATCAGTCTACAAACCACTGAAAAAACCTTTAACTAGACAAGTCCATCTAACCTTAGCCATCATAAAAATCAATTGCACCTCATCCATGATCCAACGCTTCCCAATTATTTTAACTGAAGACACTGAAAAAGGAGCTAGCAAATAAACAACACACCATTCAAATCAAGAGAAAAGACAACCAGGAGGTTCATTGCTTTGGGACACATTTTACCACAGCTGAATTAACAACTGCAATAAATACTCTTAAAGCAAAGCTGCTGGCTTTGACTATATTTGTACAGAATAAATAAAATGCTTCCGATCAAGGACAAGGGCCCAACAGGGTCAGCAAGCATATATTTTAGCACTCCTAAATTGGTGAAAGATCCCTCAGATCCAAAGAATGTCAAACCTACATCTCTACTATTTCATCTTTTCAAATCTATGTATGCCTTATCTTAAACCATCTGCCTGTGGTTGTTGAAGAACATTTAATCCCCAAGCAAGCTGGTTTCTACCCAGGAAAATCATGAAGTAGTCTAGTATTACACATCCTGAAGCACATTGAAAATTACTCCAAAAAAGGAATGGTCACTAGTGCGGTATTCAGCAGCTTACAACACTTTCCAGCACTGGATGTTCCTTGCAAAACTATACATGACAAAAGATTACCAACTATTATAAATAACATGATTCTTGCTAGAAAATTGAAGTTGAATCATGCAAGAAGTGATGCCAATGGTGAAAACAAAGGAATAGCCTACCTGAAGGGAGTGTACTTGCACCCATACTATTTGACATCTACACCAATGATCAATTGATTCAACCAGGCATGAGAAGTTTTATTTATGCAGATGATTTGTGTACCACCACCCAAATTAAGCGTCAGTGCTCAATGGGTTGTCGGACTATTACACCTAAGATCAACTACATGTCAACCCAAATAAAACACAGGTTAGTCTCCTCCACCTTCAGAACTAAGATATTAGTAAGCAACTCAACCCAACATGGAATGGAATAACTTTGCCAACTGCCCAAACCATATCTATTTGGGAGTGACACTAGACCCAAATGCTCTTGTATAAACTACATGTAGAAGAGATGAAGTTTACAGTTCATTCCCAGAACAACATATTAAAGAAGCTCATCAACTCTAAATAGGAGGCCAACCCAACAACATTATAAACTACTGTGTTTGCACTTTGTTATTCAGCAGTTGAACACACATGCCTAGTCTGGGAAAGTTTGGTGCATACAAAGAAGCTAGACACTGTTATACAAAAGTTGCAGGTGCATTTCTGGATGTGTTAAACCAGCAAATGTCAATAGTCTCTATCTACTTGCCAGAATTATCCCACCAGACAACAGGTGAGCAATAGCAAGCAAAACAGAACATACCCAGCAGACTGAAGACAAGATGCACTCACTACATGCCCACATTGAGGCTCCCAGCAAACTGAAATCATAGAAATTTCCTCTCTCCTATGTAGTCACTGGATAAAAAGCCAACAGCCCCATGAATAGAAGGTAGCAATCATGACCAGGAAGGATAACCCAAGAGGGAGTTAGGAAAACTGCCAAATCCCTGCCTGCACAAAGCTTGACTGGCCAACATGGAATAGCTTGAACCGCCTCCAAACAGGGGTCAGTAACACTAAAAGGCAACATGCAACTGTGAGGATACTTCAACAATGCAAATGTTTGAATGTGACGGAAACTTTCAGACTACAGAACATCTGCTAGCCTGCTAATGTATAAGGGAACCATGCACCAATAAGGACCTCACTAAGACTACAGATCAAACCATAATATATGCCTAT